AATTTTAGCGTGGAACAGTGCAGATGTGTGTTACTTAAAGAAGCCTGATACTGGGAATCACTTTTCAGCATTGGTTTCAGCTGAGTATAATTTCTTATTTGCAAAGTCACAGAAGATTCTTATCTTGACAGTGATTTGATGAATCCGAAAATGAAAAACACTGAGTGGTTTTCCCAATTAATGTTGTGAAAGCATTATTACCTGTGAAGAAGGAATAAAACTCAGTTAACAGTAAATTGGTGGTCAGATATTTGCTAGTCATTTCAGGTATGTGTTAGTTATCCAAACATCAGCATTCAGTGTTAATGCATGAAATGCATTTTCAGTCTCATTAAATTTATAATACATGGTGTACTACAGTGGTGTCACTTTAAACTCTACGTTGAATACCGATTGCATAATGCGTGAACTGTTAATACACAGAACCGAGTTCGTCGACTGGAAATTACACAGTTGATGTGAGAAATCACCAACGTTTCGTGTGGGAATGGTGCGGAATATTGTTAGGCTGTAACAATCATTTCGTTTTCAACCCTCCATCTACACATGCATAACAAGTGAATTATAAATCACTAAATCACAACACCTCGTAGTGAATTCCTATCCTTTCGCATACAATGCAAATATGAGGAAGGAAATGTATTTTCGGAAGTTAATGAGGAGAAATATGGAGGCATTCATAGAGGTAGGATAGATATTGCAGTATTTCGCATAAAGATAACTATCCGTCGTTCACGAACTATCAGTGATATTGAAATTTACGTTTCCTCTGATGTGCGTCGGTGGCACAGTGGTTAAGACTCTCGCCGACCATGCACATGGTCCGGGGTTCGATCCTCTGCCGGCGCACACCCGATATCTATGGTCGGCAAGTAAATTTGGGCTACCGATATCCACGCTGAAAATTCCATACTTGTACTCAAAATACGGTGTGGAATCAAGCTATAATCAAAATAATAAAAAAGAATACAACTCTGTCATATTTCGGTTCGTTCACTCACAGACACTATCGCCTTGATGACACACACATAGAAATTTCAATCCTAAATGAGTTGATGTTGAGCTGTTATCTTTAGACAACAATATTCCTTCTATTTTCGAACACGTCAGAAGTAAAGAAAGAAGAAGGCCAATTGGGACACGAGCATTTTCAATAATGCATATGTGTCTAATATTGAAAGCAAAGTCACTATTACTACGATAGATTTAAGTTTATTTAATGAAAATAAGTGAAGAGACTATGTAAACTACAGGAAGAAAGGAAAGTCTGATCGCCCACTTTGCGTGTCTCACCAGTGCATTAGTACCCATCCAGGAATATAACCTTTCTGGGATCGTAGTTGTGGTCAAATGGAACAGGTTCGCACAAGTTGGTTTTGATGCCTGCAAAAGAGAATCGATATGTACATACATTCAGTGATTGATATCACTTGGAAAACTAAGATGTTCATTTATCCTGTATAGTAAACAGAAACAACAACCTTAGTATGTGTATGAATATAAGAGATATGAGAATAGTTAGCTGGATGTGATTGGGAATGCTGAGAAATTTTTGAGATTAGTGAAGCTGCATACTTGTACGCCATTTTCTTTCCTTTCAATTATCTTTTCGTGGAGTAAATATTATGAGAGACTGATTTCTGCGTCCATCAGATGGTCAAACGTAACATCTGATATCATCACAACTCTCCTTCAGACCCCTAATACAAAATCAACTACGTGAAGAAATCCAAGTTGTGATAGACCACCACCCTCCTACCAAAACAAGCACGCTCAAACGAAAGCGTAGCAAGTCTGATTTGTGATAGCGAAGATCCTCACGCTAACATTCTGCTCACAAGCTCTATTAGTGTTTACGCTTTCAATACAATCAGTGTGCATGCATCAGTCAGACACAGTTTGAAACTGGCCTTCTAATTAGTCCACTTCGCTGCATTCTGCCATCGAAAATTCCTATCAAACTCCAAGAAAGTACAATGCTTCTCACTCACACAAATGACACATTGACACACAGCGCTTCCCGTTTCACACTTTGACATCAAAATCAGCTTGATGCAGTAACACTGTCACGTAGACAACAATCACAACGATAAACTAAATATTCATACATATCACGCTGTTGGTTTTGTATTCAGGAGTAACTTCTCGAAATGTTTTTGTGAAGGAAGATTCAACGCACTTATCATACATGACTCAGATGACATCTGCATGCACTGACTATTATTTGTTTAGCTATTTCTTCTGTCAAACACATATATTTATTTCTTCGAAATGACACAGTGACAATGTTCGTCGACCACATAACTCCTATTCGTTGGAATGACTCTCATTGTCTTAGTTTCAATTGCTAATATTTCGACGTCAAACGACGATTGGAATGGGACTGAAGCATACAAAACGGTTTCATGGAGATTATAGGTGTTTTGTGGAATTCGATCTCTCAGTAAATACTAGCAAAGCTAAATATGAATAGAATGCATAACATAATGTTCGCGCTCGTGATCGCCTCAAGATTAGACTGAGCAGCCAGTGGAATATGTGCTGGTTGCTCACTACAGTCACTAATTCTCGGTCAAAATATTACCCACAGATTCATTCACTCACCCATTACCCTCCGTCTATAAGAAGTTGCTTCTGTAAGCGAAAAAAAGAGGAAGGTTGAACATTTGGTACGGAATTCGAAAGTGAGAAATATATCTGCAGTTGATATCACACATACGAGAAGCAACCGACTAACTAATTCTTTCCGCCATTTCACAATGCATAAAATCGTCTTTGTTAGAGTTAAGTGTAATCAAATAAGACAATGTTAAGTATGAATTTTAGGCGATTTATGTCACTGACGAATTGTAATTCTGAGAATTTCCTCATGGACAACCTGTGGAAGCTGCATGAATGGCAAGTTCCAAGATATCCTAATCATTTTCATCTAGAGTTAGATCCTCCAGCCTAGTGATTACTGCTCAAATCTCGGTTCTTATAAACCTCTCTCTTCCTTTCACGTGTGATCTTCTCGTGAATGAAATCAGCGAAATGTGCACATTTCTTCGAACCCAGAACATCTACAATTCCATCTAATTCCTTCCAAATTATAAATGCTGTAGTAGCATCCGTTTTGACTCAGAACAAAGTCATATGAATAACATTGAATAAACATAACGGTAGAACTCTGCTTTAAACAAAGTGACTGGATTCGCACGGAGAAGTCGACCTGCGATCAAATGTTGAAGTCTATCTGTGGCCCTATCTTCACACATTAGTGTTTCCTTTTGATAGCACATCAATTACCTCTGTCACAGTGTCCAACCAAATAAGGATCACTGTCAGTTTGATGAGTGATTCCGAGAGATGAGGTGTTGACATGTTCATCTCTAAGACAAGACAACAGTATTCTCAGTGCAGTATTAACTTCCATTCTTAAATTCCACATATGTCTAGTATGACTACGGACAAACAACTGTAGCTGAGAGTAAGAGAGAGCGTTTCCCACACATTTGATGTCTTCACAATAATCAAGCATACTTCACCTCTCACAGCCCTCATCGTTTCTTTACACATTATACGACTTTGTTATTTTATAGGAAGAAATTTTACACAAGTGTGACTGAATTCCTCATAGCAAAGAATTATTTCGACTACTTTCCTGAGATGCGCCGTTTTACATTGATTGCTATCCGGTCAACTGACAGCGGTCAGTCACACCAATCACATTTTCAATTAATCACATAATACAAGTGTCATATTAAATGTGATCATATATCGCAACAATATAAAACTAACCGTAATTAGGAAATGCTTCGAAAATGAAAATGAAATTAGAAAGCAATAATTACTTAGGTGACGATCAGTGAATTCGAAATAAGTCTACACAATCAATTCTCTGTGGAGCAGCTTGTGATGATTCATCGATAATAAAACAGAAAAATCAGCCTGTAATTATGCTGAAGCACGCAATCTGATATTCTTAAAATAGTTTTGTGTAACTGCCAGTTGCTAACGTCGATCATATTTGAACGTTCGTTCTGTTTACCGTCTGTCTTCACTTCGTCCTCTTCATTAGTTCATCTCAATGAGGTAGTTAATTCATACGAATTGCAGAGTGTAGCACAATCTCCACGTGTCAGTGACTCAGCGTGTATGCAGTTTGTTGACTGAAATCTACTGTGCTCAAAACTTTAGGCTTAGAATTCCAGGATTGAGAAGTTACAACAAACTAATCAATGCTTATCCTGCATCGGTAATTCTGAATCTTAGATGAAATAAAACAGGATTTTATTAACTCACCTATCAGTATATTCGAAACTAGAATGTTTGAAACAAGCATTTGGAAAGATAACATTCATTCACTGTGAACAAAGAAATGTGTTAATTTTGATTCATGATTTTCTAGGCACAAATTCTACTTAAAGTCATAGATGTTATGCACACGGCTATCATTGTTTTAGCAATTCAACTTAGTGAAACTCCAACACTGTTGCTTAATAATTGAAGAAGTGAATAGAAAATTTCTTCTTTTCACCACTTCAATGAGGCAAACATCTTGACAATTGTAAGTGCCCACGAATCTCACGTATATATATAAATACTAGGCAGAAAGTCAAGTAACAAAACATCTTTGTTTGGTTGATTCAGCTCTGTATCCTACAGAATAAGCATCTGAATGTCAAATCTTCGCTCAATATTGAGGATGAAGTCCAGATTATCCGGCAATTCAAACTGATGGAGAACGTTTCATAGAGCAGTTTCCTCGTTTTGGTAGGTAACAATCACTCACTACATGCAATGACATTCACCATGAATTAATAACTTCTACAAAGATACGTGATGAATGTGTTATCTGAAAGGTTAGGAATGATTAGCCGATAAATTCCACAGATATTTATCAAATGCAGAAGAATATCGAGTCATTTTTCCCAACGTTTGTCCTGGAAAAACAAATTGGAATCACCTGAATACATATGGAGCCATTGTTTTGTGTAAAATATCAGAAGAAAACTCACCTTCTATCTTCCGTGAAAACTCATCGGATATTTGACTCTCCAGTAGATTCTTGGTGAACATTCCCAAAACATCAACTACCGACAACTTTTTATTGAGTCGTCGCAGCTTATAAACGGGTATATGGTAGTCAACAGAAACACGAACAGCTCCATCTGGATGTAGGTCATTGAATATATCTGTCCGACAGTATTCAGAGCCGACTGAAAGTCTGGATAGAATGCTGTCAAAACGTTGATCAATCTGTAAACACGAAATAGTGATTAGTTCCTCTGACAGCCGGTGTTACGATTTAGTGTTAATTAAGTGGAAAGACATATCTGTTAACGACTCAATCCTCAGGTCACATTGTGGCAAAAGTAGGAACTAATTAATAGCCTTATAAATCTTGTGCGTACTAAAACAAACACATAACCAGAGAACGGAATCCTTGAAGAATTCGGCATAAGCAAAACTTGAAGACTGAGTTAGAATTCATCAGGTCAGGCTCGGTCACCGTACAAATAATAAAACGCACTGAAAGATGTAAACTCTAGTTTACTTACCGCATTACATATTTTTGGCTTCATTTCCGTTATAACCTCATGTTTTAGTACCGTGTACCAACCCTGGTAACATGTTCCATTCTTCAAATACCCGAGAATTGTCACTTTGATTACTTTTTGCCACTCTTCCTCTAGAAAATTGTTAATTTTTAAATCAAGTGTCAAAATGAATAGCTAGGATATATTGAAAAATAAGACATAGTAGAATGATAGACAGATCATAAAACGTGTGAAACCAGTGAGACACTGATGATTATTTCTTTACTCAGTGTAACCAGAACAAGGCTGTACTTAGGTACGCGTGTACCTCGACCACTTCCTATACTCTTTCAGTTTGCTGAGACAATTATTATTATTATTAGTAGTAGTAGTAGTAGTAGTAGTAGTAGCAGTAGAATTGTTATCTTGGAATTCGAAGGTGAAGAGATTCACATCTTGTTCGCCTTGAAGCTGATTGCCTGCAGTCATTTATTTAAATAAGTTTGACAATTTGCCAATTCATCAAAGTCGATTTATTCAGGTAAGAAAAATATTATAGCACAACCTAAGTCTGATAGTCTGTGTTCTAGTCAAGAGACAGACAGAAAGAGAAGGAGCTATTCGAGTGAGTTTTGTCATAATCATTTATCCAGTCATTTATGTCTGGTTATGACTGCCTAGACTGAAGTCTGCAGTAGGACAAGGTTATTGAATGGCTCATCAACCAAGATGCAACGCAAATGTCACATAAAATATGATGATACATCATATCAATATGGAACTAACCGTATGGAGGAGATACTTGGAAAATAAAAGTGAAATAAGAAAGCAATAGTGAATTCAACAAGTTAATTGTACTATCAGTTTAATTAACTGACGATCAACAAAGTCTAGAAAACTCCACAAAATCAATTCTGTATTTCGTTCATAAGGATTTGAGCAGACACGGATAACTGTTTGAGACGATGTGGGCTAACGACCCGATGAAGGGTCAAACAAAGCACTGTGAGTTCAGACAGTGAGGATGACAAGACTGAACTACTTGGAAGGATTTCAGTTGATCGCAATTCAAAAATTCTGAGAGATCATGATGTGTTGGCAACACTGTTTAATACTATGAAGAGTACAGCCATCACTGTCAGACACACAAGGTGCACCAATCTTAACGTTTGATGAAAAAATTCAGAATGTGCCATTCGATGCCAAGTGCTTATAACTAAAGTGTTAGATTTAAGTTGTCGGGAAATGGCAGAATTCGCCAATCTCTAACCGTGAACATCTCAACCATATGCCGAATGGTATCACTCGTATTGACATCCAGTAATGGTGAGCTGCAGCCATTGTGTAATATCGCATGAGATGAACAATAGCCTATTTTAGTGATATTGGCCTGCAGAGTATGTCATTACCATGAGACTGTCACGTTGGTCGCAAGCTTGATAGACAAGCGGGAAAGTAATCAACAATCTTTGTTGCACCACCCAAATCACAATAACGTTCAGAACACTGCACCAATAAACGCAACTGGGCCATGACGAAAGCAGTCTAACACGCTAGAAACTTTCAACTGTCAGATGAGATACAAATATATGTTCACTAAAGTCAGCCATCTACTTGGAACACATTGTTCTCACTGACTGTCATCAAAGTGAACATAAAAATAATGAGGTGAATCAGCACAAAAGACGATCAAAACACTTGTAGAAAGCTTACCTGAGTAAGCAACTGCAATCAAAGCTGTGAAATATAAGAATGAGATGTAGGTGTTCATTGTGAAACTTTTGCTATAATTGAATTCAATGGCAATCTAAGTCTTCACTGGATATTTATACTATACTTAGGAATGCGCCTCCCCATCGCTAAACACGGCAAACAACAGCACTATTAAATATTTCTATCGTGTTTGTGTGAGATTCAGAATTGAAGAGGAATACCTCAAGTATGAATAGCAATAGTTGCAAAAATAACTCACTAATTAGGCCCCTGAATTAAAATAAAATCTCAGTGACAAAAAGAATTATGATAAAATAATATCAATAACAGATATAAGTTAACAATAGAAATATTATATTCTAATTAACAAAAAGAATGTAGCAAACAACGGATGACAGAGTGAAAGTTTTAGGTCAACGCACACAAAAGAGTAAAGTACCTAACAAAAAGTTTAAATTATGAAAATGTTGGTAGAGTTAGTTATTTCCACTGTTGCAACTAAAAGTACTTCTAGGATAGTCATACTAGTCCTATGTAAACCACCTTCAGTCCATCTATCTGACTTGCTGTGTTTACACTATTAGATGTTTGCTGGGTGTGTGAGGTACTGGTGGTGCTGTTGGTAAGATACACTCTACTAGGCCTTACTAAAACCACTTTATCTGTGTACCCAAATGGATCAGTACTCTATCTAACCTGTAAGTACAGACGACAAAACACAAATATAAAGACTTAGTTAATTGGAAATGTGCTCTGCTTAGCAGTATCTTTGAGCAAAATATAAGATCGAGATTATACATGGGAAGGGATGTAGGATTTATCTGACGAATATGGCTGTATTACGAACTGAAAGTATGTGAGTGAAGGCAGCACAAGGGAGAAGAGCAAAATGGCGTGAGAGCGAGTCCGTATATGAACACGTTAAAACAAAGTCGTAAACATATATATATATATATTATTTTTGATTACAGCTTGATTCAACACCGTATTTTTGGTACACGCATGGAATTTTCAGCATGTGATATCGGTAGCCCAAATTTTGCAGGCCGTCCATGTTCCGTACACTGATGGTAAGAATGCAAAGAAGATAAGTCGTTTGAAGCTATCCTAATATCCAATGATTCAGTGAACTACACTGAACTCCTCAAAACGATTCGAAATTCATTGATGTTATAAATTTTCTTGAGAGGGTGAAGTGGGTTATTCATTAGAAGAGATTTCCAAAGGGAATGTAGTTACACTTGTGTCAAATTCCCTCATATAAATTAACAAAGTCGTGTAATGTGTAAAGAAACGATGAGGGCTGTGAGAGGTGAAGTATGCTTGATTATTGTGAAGACATCAAATGTGTGGGAAACGCTCTCTCTTACTCTCAGCTACAGTTGTTTGTCCGTAGTCATACTAGACATATGTGGAATTTAAGAATGGAAGTTAATACTGCACTGAGAATACTGTTGTCTTGTCTTAGAGATGAACATGTCAACACCTCATCTCTCGGAATCACTCATCAAACTGACAGTGATCCTTATTTGGTTGGACACTGTGACAGAGGTAATTGATGTGCTATCAAAAGGAAACACTAATGTGTGAAGATAGGGCCACAGATAGACTTCACTATTTGATCGCAGGTCGACTTTTCCGTGATGCGTGATGTTGTGAAAGGTTTGATTGCACAGCACTGCACATCCAGTCACTTTGTTTAAAGCAGAGTTCTACCGTTATGTTTATTCAATGTTATTCATATGACTTTGTTCTGAGTCAAAACGGATGCTACTGCAGCATTTATAATTTGGAAGAAATTAGACGGACGTGTACATGTTCTGGGTTCGAAGAAATGTGCACATTTTGCTGATTTCATTCACGAGAAGATCACACGTGAAAGGAAGAGAGAGGTTTATAAGAACCGAGATTTGAGCAGTAATCACTAGGCTGGAGGATCTAACTCTAGATGAAAATGATTAGGATATCTTGGAGCTCGCCATTCATGCAGCTTCCACAGGTTGTCCATGAGGAAATTCTCAGAATCACAATTCGTCAGTGACATAAATCGCCTAAAATTCATACTTAACATTGTCTTATTTGATTACACTTAACTCTAACAAAGACGATTTTATGCATTGTGAAATGGCGGAAAGAATTAGTTAGTCGGTTGCTTCTCGTATGTGTGATATCAACTGCAGACATATTTCTCACTTTCGAATTCCGTACCAAATGTTCAACCTTCCTCTTTTTTTCGCTTACAGAAGCAACTTCTTATAGACGGAGGGTAATGGGTGAGTGAATGAATCTGTGGGTAATATTTTGACCGAGAATTAGTGACTGTAGTGAGCAACCACCACATATTCCACTGGCTGCTCAGTCTAATCGTGAGGCGATCACGAGCGCGAACATTATGTTATGCATTCTATTCATATTTAGCTTTGCTAGTATTTACTGAGAGATCGAATTCCACAAAACACCTATAATCTCCATGAAACCGTTTTGTATGCTTCAGTCCCATTCCAATCGTCGTTTGACGTCGAAATATTAGCAATTGAAACTAAGACAATGAGAGTCATTCCAACGATTAATAGCTATGTGGTCGACGAACATTGTCACTGTGTCATTTCGAAGAAATAAATATATGTGTTTGACAGAAGAAATAGCTAAACAAATAATAGTCAGTGCATGCAGATGTCATCTGAGTCTTGTATGATAAGTGCGTTGAATCTTCCTTCACAAAAACATTTCGAGAAGTTACTCCTGAATACAAAACCAACAGCGTGATATGTATGAATATTTAGTTTATCGTTGTGATTGTTGTCTACGTGACAGTGTTACTGCATCAAGCTGATTTTGATGTCAAAGTGTGAAACGGGAAGCGCTGTGTGTCAATGTGTCATTTGTGTGAGTGAGAAGCATTGTACTTTCTTGGAGTTTGATGGGAATTTTCGATGGCAGAATGCAGCGAAGTGGACTAATTAGAAGGCCAGTTTCAAACTGTGTGTGACTGATGCATGCACACTGATTGTATTGAAAGCGTAAACACTAATAGAGCTTGTGAGCAGAATGTTAGCGTGAGGATCTTCGCTATCACAAATCAGACTTGCTACGCTTTCGTTTGAGCGTGCTTGTTTTGGTAGGAGGGTGGTGGTCTATCACAACTTGGATTTCTTCACGTAGTTGATTTTGTATTAGGGGTCTGAAGGAGAGTTGTGATGATATCAGATGTTACGTTTGACCATTTGATGGACGCAGAAATCAGTCTCTCATAATATTTACTCCACGAAAAGACAATTGAAAGGAAAGAAAATGGCGTACAAGTATGCAGCTTCACTAATCTCAAAAATTTCTCAGCATTCCCAATCACATCCAGCTAACTATTCTCATATCTCTTATATTCATTCACCTACTAAGGTTGTTGTTTCTGTTTACTATACAGGGTAAATGAACGTCTTAGTTTTCCATGTGATATCAATCACTGAATGTATGTACATATCGATTCTCTTTTGCAGGCATCAAAACCAACTTGTGCGAACCTGTTCCATTTGACCACAACTACGATCCCAGAAAGGTTATATTCCTGGATGGGTACTAATGCACTGGTGAGACACGCAAAGTGGGCGATCAGACTTTCCTTTCTTCCTGTAGTTGAGAAAGTTTCTTTACTTATTTTCATTAAATAAACTTAAATCAATCGTTGTAATAGTGACTTTGCTTTCAATATTAGACACATATGCATTATTGAAAATGCTCGTGTACCAATTGGCCTTCTTCTTCCTTTACTTCTGACGTGTTCGAAAATAGAAGGAATATTGTTGTCTAAAGATAACAGCTCAACATCAACTCATTTAGGATTGAAATTTCTATGTGTGTGTTATCAAGGCGATAGTGTCTGTGAGTGGACGAACCGAAATATGACAGAGTTGTATGCATCAGAAGAAAGGTAAATTTCAATAACACTGATAGTTCGTGCACGACGGATAGTTATCTTTATGCCAATGAATGCCTCCATATTTCTCCTCATCAACTTTCGACAATAGTTTTCCTTCCTCATATTTGCATTGTATGCGAAAGGATAGAAATTCACTACGAGGTGTTGTGATTTAGTGATTTATAATTCACTTGTTATGCATGTGTAGATGGAGAGTTGAAAATGAAATGATTGTTACAGCCTAACAATATTCCGCACAATTCCCACACGAAACGTTGGTGATTTCTCACCTCAACTGTGTAATTTCCAGTGGACGAACTCGGTTCTGTGTATTAACAGTTCACCAAGGCAGACAACTGGAATTCGGGTATTTTGAACCACTCCGAGTATCTGGCTTCAGTCAAACTGAGTACACTCCAACCACTGATGAGGTTGGAGTGAAACGAGCGAGACTGACGTCCGGTTTGTATATGACTTCAATCTGACTAGCGAGCACCACTGCTTGAATTGGATGCTTCCCAGCTACTCATATTCATCAGTCAGTAGTGTATGTGGCAAGTCAAATATTTCACTGTCAACATCGTTATCAATTATTCACGTTTGGCAAGGCTTGTAGTTCCCTCCAAACAGCATACATTGATACACACATGGATCAACAGCATGATACTTTCTTTTCAGGGGACTGTCGTATTGCTTAGTGAAACCCATGTGTTCACTAGCTGATTTGCACAAGTAACTAGGATTCATACATATGGAAATACACCGTTTGGCAATTGAACACAAAAGTAATTTACTCGCTGTATACTGACATCGAATTGTGAACAGGATGAGGGATGAGCGAGGAGGACTGCAGTAGTGATGATGCATCAGAAAATCTGCCGAATGTCAAACAGCTTGTAAGACACAGCAGTGTTCGTATTCTCCAAATATTCATCAAGCGAACTCAGGCATACAGCAATGACAAAAGTACAGTTGTTTATCATCCGTTGAATGAGAAGCAGCAGTAGAAGTAGATTAATGAATGTGGACATCACGTGCATATTCATACTGGATTAGAAGGCAAACAAACAAGCCCATATCACTCACCATCTCACAAACACACTGGACGTGAGCATGTAAGAATGCTCACAACTCACCACAGAAAGTGAATAATTATTTCGATTTGTCAATCTACTAGTACTTAAAGCTGAAGAAGTAATATCAAATCAATGGATGATTCATCAAAACTACGAACTTCCCTCTCCGCGTTCAACCTGCTTTGTC